CTTATCTTTTTGCTTTTCAGGATGTTAGGAAAATTTTCTTCCAGAAGCTCTTCAACTATCTCATCTTTGGATTGTGTGATTCTTCCTGTTCCAGAATGTCAATAATTCTTAAGTTATTCCTCTTCATGTTGTCCAACGTGAATCTTAGGCCTTCCTTAGATATTTTTATCTTTTTTTGTGCTTGCTTTTCTATCTGGTTTCTATCACTTCCCTTCTACTCCTTTGCCCTTTCAGTTTATTGTCCATTTCTGATATTCTATTATTAATCATTTGGTTCTCTTTCTGTAGTTTTGAATTGTTTCCAATGCTGTATCTGTCTTGTTTGATTGTTTCTGTAGCGCTTTCCTGACTTCTTCCTTATTTTACTCATCTCCATTGTATAGTGTTTTTATATATTTTGAAATTATTTTCCTGAATTCCTTCTCACGCATTTCCAAAGCCTGTTCATCTTCCAGTATGGAGTGTAGGTCTACTTCCAACTCATTTGCCTCAGTCACTTTATCTTATTTCTAGACATGTGTTGATATGGTCATCTGTTTCTGTTTTTTTTTTTTTGGCATATTCAGGAGTTATCTGTGGCCTTAATACTTAGATGGGTGTGTATTTTGTAAATTTTAATGCCTTTTGATTGCCTCCAGGTAGGTGTGATAAGGAGATGGACTTTTCACTCATCTTCTTGAGAAATTTCATGATGCCACTGTTGGTCGTTGTGACGTAACTCAAGATTTAATTTTTGGCCTATTTCCTTTTTAGTCTGCCTGTCCACTGCACAATCCCCATTCAGGTTTTTTTTCCTAGTGATAAGCAGTTCATGGCCAGCTGTGGCCGTTTTGCACTGCCTTTGGTTTTAAGTGGAAACTGTCACTTTAAATTTTAGGAGATCTGTGTGCATACGTAGTAGAACACTCCGTGGGTGGGGTGGGGTGTCCACTCTCTCAGGCACCCCCTCGAGTTACCAGAATAGAGATGCACAGACAGCGAGAGACCAATGAACAAATAAAGAAAGAAAAAGCATGTTCACACCTTTATCTCTGCATTTCTGTCAGGCATCCATGGCTGCTCTGATCCTTTCCCTGCTTGTTCTCTCCCAAGATGGCAATAGATTTCTTGCTTCTGCTACAAATTCCTCTGGCTGTAAGCCTTCCAACCTTTTAAATATTCATTTATATGTGGTTCAGAGTTCTGGAGACATTCCCTGAGGCAGCTTGGTCCAGTATTCTGTGTTGTTGCTGACGGAGCTCCTCACTACATTTCTACCGGATCTGCCATCTTGTTTGTTCTCTTTTCTCTCTTTTTAATATTCACGCTGAACTTTATTGTTTCTTTTCTTTTTGCTACCTTTGGGTTTAGTTTAGAAGCTGAAAAAAAATGAAATATTTTCAGAAAAAATCAGACACCACTATTTCTGGGTTCTAATCCTGGTACCCAACCATGGTATTTTCAATAACCTCATATGCATGTGAATGCTAGACAGTAAATAAGGAAGACCATAGAAGAATTGATGCTTTTGAGTTATGGTGTTGGAAGAGAATATTGAAAGTGCCATGGGCTGCCAAAAGAACAAACAAGAGCTGTGGTGGAAGAATTGCAACCAGAGCGCTCTTTCGAGGCCAGGATGGCCAAACTTTGTCTCTCATACTTCAGGCATATTGTCAGGAGGGACCAGTCCCTGGAGAAGGATATCATGTTTGGTAAGGTGGAGGGTCAGAGAAAAAGAGGAAGACTCCCAGCAAGATGGATTGGCAAATTGGCAGTATGAATGGGCTCAAGTGTGGCAACTATTAGGAGGTTGGCCCGGGATCGGGCAGTGTTTCGTTTTGTTATGCATAGGGTCACTATGAGTCAGTACTGACTCGATGGCATCTATCATCAACAACAACAACAATCCTGATACAGTTATTGCTATGTGAACTTGGATAAGTTATTTAACCTCAAAGTACTGTTTTATTATCAATAAAACAGGGTAATAATTCTACCTACTCCATAAGATTTTTGTGTTAAGGAGAGTACCTGGGACATAACAAAAACTATGTCAATATTAGCTCAACTCAATGGACTTAATAACAACAAATTTTAATACTGCTTTACAATATTTTTCTATAGATTTTCTATTTCTTTATTAAACTATTGGATTGTTTGATGATCTTAAAAGGTTTGTTTTTGTACTACTGATTATTTTTGTAACTATTGTTTTTGTTAAGTGCCATTGAGTCAGTTCCGACCCATAGTGACCCTGTACAGGGTTTCCGAGGGTTTAAATCTTTACAGGAGTAGAAAGCCTCATCTTTCTCCTGTGGAGCGTCTGGTAGTTTCGAATTGCTGACCTTAAGGTTCGCAGCCCGATTTGTAACCACTACACTACCAGAGCTCCTTGTAACTATAGTATTGTAAAATATCCATAATGTTTATCACTGTTATACTTGTATTTCCTCCTCTTTCCCATTCATCAACCATCTAATTTAAACTATTCCATAGGAACTGACTCCCCGGCACATAACAACAACAACATAGGGTTTTCAAATCTGTCTTCTTTATATAAGCTGATTACCACTTGTTTCTCTCACTTAGGGGCTGATGTGTTAGAAGCACGAATCTTTTGCTTAGCAAACAAGAGCTTATGCCACTGTACCACCAGGTCTCCTTATTTGTCTTAGTGTTTACCATTTAATCTGTAAATAATTATTGTTGTTAGTGGTGGTGGAGTTGGTTTCGACTCATAGTGACCCTGTGTAGGGTTTCTGAGGCTATAAATCTTTGCATGAACAGTAAGCCTCATCTTTCTCATGCAGAATGGCTGTTAGTTTCAAACTGCTGACCTTGAGGTAAGCACCCCAACTTGTAACCACTATGTTACCAGAGCTCCTTGTAAATATGATTGTTGTTGTTAAGTGCTGTTGAGTCAGTTCTGACCCATAGTGACCCTGTATAGGGTTTCTGAGGAGCAGCTGGTGAGCTTGAACCGTCAACCTTGCAGTTCAAACAGGTTTACAGTCTGCCGCATTAACCCACAGCACCATACCAGGACTTGTAAATATGATTAGACCTTGATTATTTGAATTTCCCTGTCAAAATATATCATTTTGACTCATTAACAAAGAAATTAGCATGCATACATTTTAACCTTCTTTGCCCTTTCTTCCTGTAATATCTTAGTAATACCATTTGTGGAGTCCTGGTATGGTGCTGTGGGCTAATGTGCTAGACTGTACAGTCAGTTTGAACTACTAGATCTGTGGTCGAAGCTCACTAGCCACTCCTTGGAAACTCTGTACAGGGTCACTTGGGTCGGAACTGACTCAATGGTACTTAACAACAACAGCAACAATACCATTTGTGCATTGCTGGGTTTAAAGTACACCTACTCCCCACATGCCAACATCATTAAGTTTCAAAGACCAGGTCATGGTGTAAAAAGTGGCATTGTGTGAACCACATCAGATCATAAAGCAGAGGACGACTGCATCATTATAGAACTGCCAAAGCACTGAGAATCCTGTCCCAGCAGCCATGCTGTCACACACCCTTAACTATCACAGCCAGGGTTGCTCTCAGCCCACACTCTGGTGTTTGTTACTTCCAGACTTAAGTTATTAGTGTGTAAAATAGCTAGATTGTTTTCTGTTGTCCTAAATGTAAAATGTCAGTTAACACAATTGTTGGTAAGTGAGGACTAGGTATGTTTACTGCCTGTTTTGTAACCCTGGTGATCACATTTGTATAACACTCAGTCCTGCACGCATTAGGTTCACTACTCAAGCTAAAATATTTCTCTGTTGTATATGACTTGAATTAAAATTTGCTTAGACTTAAAGCTTTCAGAACAAAATTTCTTATCTTGAGGATTTTGAGTGTTATATTTTAGTGATACATTTTTTTTTCTTATTAGTGTTTTTCTGCCATTTGTGTTTTCTGTTCTTCTTATTATTGTATCTTGGCATAGATCTCAGATTTTTTTTTTTTTTTTAAATTCTTATTGTATAACATAGTGAGCCCTTCCTGGACCATAGGATCTTGTTCCAAACTAGCAACAATATACTGTGGTGCACAGCGAGATTGCTTATCACACAAGCTTTAGTGTGGAATTGAGTTATGTTAACTTTAATTTCTCTGAGATTTGTACTTGCAGATTCGTTCATAATGAATAATTTTGCTTTCTACTCTGCCTCACTGACATAATACTTCCAGCTAATGAGCCCTGGTGTGGTGCTGTGGGTTAATGCACTAGACTGCAAGGTTGGTTTAACGAACAGCTCCTTGTAAACCCTATACGGGGTCGCTATGAGTTTGAACCAACTCTATGACACTGAACAACAACAATGTGTTTCTGTGTGATTGTTCATTCAGTCCTCCCTCTCCTGTTCCTAGTATTAGGAATGCTTTCACTGACTGACCATGCACCCTGTTCCCATTATATAAAAGAAAGGTTTTGTTTTGGCTTCCTTTCAGGGGATGTTACCAACTTTGGAAAACTCGGCTTTGACAACTCTGTAGCCACAGATGACTTCTTGATGTATTCCCACTTTTCAGCATGACTTTATTTGCCAGCCCCACTTCATGTTTTGGTAGGAGTTATCGATCCCTCTTAGGTTCATCAAAGATGGAATTGTATTTCTTTTTCTCATTCTTTTTGAAAGGGAAAAGGAGTAATATGGTCTCTTAATTATAATTTAGAAACCGTAATATGCTTTTAAAATATGCCATTATATATTTTATTTATTTTTCTTATACAAAAGTCTATTTTAGATGGTGATTAATTGCAAATAATTTACTCTTATAAAAACATTTTTTTTTTTAATTACAGCAACTGAGGCATGACAATCTGGTGAATCTGTTGGAAGTGTGCAAGAAGAAAAAACGATGGTACTTAGTTTTTGAATTTGTTGACCACACAATTCTTGATGACTTGGAACTCTTCCCAAATGGATTAGATTGCCAAATAGTTCAAAAGTATTTGTTTCAAATTATTAATGGAATTGGATTTTGCCACAGTCATAATGTAAGTATTTGGTTTAAGAAATTATCTTGCCAATCATTGACTCTCCAGATACTAGTCAATTAATTTAATGAGATACTTGTTTAAACTAAAGCTTGGGCAGTAGAGTAAAACTCTTATTTTAATATGTCCAATCTCCCCATGTCAAAGTATGTGTATTCTTCACCCTCCCCCCACCAACATTTTTATTATGAAAATTGTAAGGCTTACTGAAAAGTTGAAAGACTGTACAGTGAGCACCTGTATACTTACCACTTTGGTTCTATACTTGATAACATTTTGCTATATTTGCTTTGCCACATCATCTATTCCTCCATTAATCTATCTGTTAGTATATTTAGGCATGTATGTTTTGGCTGCTAATTGGTAGGTCAGTGGTTTGAACCCACCTTCTGCTCTGTAGGTAGGAGAAAGATGTAGCAGTCTGTTTTGTAAAGATTTACAGCCTTAGAAGTCCTATGTGCCAGTCCCATTGAGTCAGAATCAATGTGATAGCAGGGGCTTCGGCTTTGTTTCCATCCTTAAAAGTAAGGGGCCCTCATAGTTCAGTGCTTCAAGTGCCAGCAGCCACCGGGGTGACTCAGTCACGAGCCAAAGAATTAGTTTGGTAATGAGTAATAGATAAGCCTTTATCCAGTCTTTTCAATGGTTTACATCGTATTTAAAGCTTCAGTGTTCTTACTTGCTCAGGTAAACCTCAATCTCTTTAAAGCCAGGAAGCCCTTTATGTACTTTCTATGTATCTTCTTTGTTAGTAACAAAAATATTGCCCTGCACATAACAAATATTAAAAAGATTACTTTTTTTTCCTTAAATTTATGTGCCAACATATGTCGCACTCTGCTTTTTGTCTTAGATCATACACAGAGATATAAAGCCCGAGAATATATTAGTCTCCCAGTCTGGTGTTGTCAAGTTATGTGACTTTGGATTTGCCCGGACATTGGCAGCTCCTGGAGAGGTTTATACTGATTATGTGGCCACCCGATGGTACAGAGCTCCAGAACTATTGGTTGGTGATGTCAAGTATGGCAAGTAAGAGATCAGTAATAGGGATGGGGAGTTAACTCCTTTTTCTTGATAATATGTACAGGGTCAAAAAACCAGATATTACTTTGAGAACTAAGGTGCACATGATGTAAACCATGATATTTTCATTCCCCTCAGTGTAGTGGTTACGAATTGGGCTGCTAATCTCATGGTCAGCAGTTCGAAACTACCAGCTGTTCTGTGGGAGAAAGATGAGGCTCTCTGCTCCCGTCAAGATTTACAGCCTCGGAAACCCTGTACAAGTGTCTCTATGAGTCAGAACTGTCTCCACGGCACATAACAACAAATATATGCAAATACTAAACAATGAATAAGGAAGGTCAAAGATGCCTTTGAATTATGGTTGTTGGTGAAAAATAATGAATATATCATGAACTGCTAGAAGAACAAACAAGACCGTCTTGGAAGGAGTATAGCCAGAATGCTCCTTAGGATGGCGAGACTTTGTCTCATGGACTTTGGACATGTTATCAGGAGGGACCAGTCCCTAGAGAAGGACATCATGTTTGGTAAAGTGGAAGGTCAGAGAAAAATAGGAAAACTTTCAACAATGTGGTTTGACACCATGTGTGTGCCTGCAACAGTGGCTCAAACTTAACAACAATTCTGAGGCTGACATAGGACTGGGCACTGCTTTGTTCTGCTTCACATAGCATTGCTGTGAACTGGAATCAATGCACTGATACCTAACAACAACAGAGAAAGGTTAAAAGTGTGAAAAAGTCTGACACTTTTAGAATGAGGTGGGGCAAAGTTGGCAAGCATGGAGGTAGAAACCTAATTGAACTAAAAGTTGTTGTTTTGAAAAGAAATGATTTTACATAATGTTTGAAATGATTTAAATTGTTTCAAATAATGTTTTTTTAAAAGTCATTACTGCTGTGCAAGAGAATCTTCAGAAAGACTTAAAACTTTTACTGCTTTTAACAGAAGTCTTTCTAAAATATTTTCTACAATTTCTCTTGTTTTCAGAGTATGTTGAACATTATTTAATATTTTCTTGATTGTTATGATTCTGATTTTACTGCTATGCTGTAATTTTTGTAACATTTTGGAATTCAGCAATGCCTTTAAGAAATGAAACATTTGTCCCTGTGCTAAATGGCTCTAGCATATTCTTTGAGTTCTTTTAACTGATTTTTAAGATAGTTTTCCTATTTTGTTCCTATTTGTTTTCAGTTCTCCTTGGTATTGTTTTTATCACCAATATCCATCTCATTTCTCTGTTATGTTTTTTTCAGTATACCATAGCTAGAATGATCAACCTGGTTAAAATTCTGTGTAAGTAAAGAATGAGTAGGCTCTGAATAAAAGCCTAAGAGTCTTATTTGTAAAGTAAAGTACACATGGTAACTATTTTGGTTATTCAAAAGCCTTTTCCTTCTTGTGCTACCAAAATGAAAAATCTGGAAATTTAGCTTATGTAAAATTGGAATTTAGTAATTTATAGTGAAATGCATTTTAATAGATAATTTAAGACACACTACTACTATTCTTGCTGAAAGTGAAGAGGACTTAAAACATTTACTGATGAAGATCAAAGAGCACAGCCTTCGGTGTGGATTACATCTCAATGTCAAGAAAACAAAAATCCTCACCACTGGACCAATAAACAACATTCTTATCAATGGAGAAAAGATTGAAGTTGTCAAGGACT